AGCAGCCCCCCGCTGAGCAGGGAGCCCGTTGTAGGGCTCTATCCCAGGACCCTGGGATCATGACCTGAGCAGAGGCTTAACCAACTGAGCCACCCAGGCACCCCCAGAAGATTAAATCTTTAAAAATGGTTTTCTTTGGGGGCACCTGGGTGGCTCAGTGGGTTAAAGCCTCTGCCTTCTGCTCAGGTCATGATCCCAGGGTCCTGGGATCGAGCCCCGCATCGAGCTCTCTGCTCAGCAGGGAGCCTGCTTCCTCCTCTCTCCCTCTCTGCCTGCCTCTCTGCCTACTTGTGATCTCTGTCTGTCAAATACATAAATAAAACCTTTAAAAAAAAAAGTGGTTTTCTTTGGATAAGTCCTGAGTGTAGTCCTTTTTACTCGACCGTTCTCTGGACTGGGAGTTCCTGCTCTGAAGCTGTCCTGTCACCCTAAGACTGGGCCACCTCAATCACCCTATCTCTAGGAGGGACAGCTGTGCAACCTCAGAAGGCAGGTTTCATCCATGAGTACAGAAACCATTTATCGAGCCCCCGCTGATTGCTGAGGACTCAAAGGTGGAGACTCCATCCCTCAAGGACTTGACAGTCCTCCCGAAGACAAAACAGGCAAACCGTGTTGGTGGCCACGACCACTGCCTCCATGGAGGCCAGTGCAGAGTGCTCGGGACCCCCAGAGAAGAGAGACTAAGGCCAAGGAAGGAGGGACTGCCACTGAATGTGACTGTGGAAGGATGACTAGGAGCCCATTCAAGGAACGAGTCCCGGCCCATCATTCCAGGCAGAAGCCGTGGTCATGCGCAGATCACGGGGACTCCGCCAGGTCCTTCACCTGATTGGAGTGTAAAAGAGGTGACTATTTGCGGTCACTAGGCTGACCTGAATGACAGGGGCTGACATGACGGTTTAAATCCTGCAAGGAGATTTGGACCTGATACCCCGTGGGCCACTGAAGACTTGTAAAAGAAGGCAACAGGATCAGTTTGTTCAGAAGATTGTTCTGGTTACAGCAGTGGCAGCCAATAGATATTTCTGCATTTGCCTCTTTCTCCATTTTATCCTGCAGCAAATCTTCCATGATATCAAAACTTGTAACAACAGTGTTGGACGTGACTCCGCATCATAGGAAACGAGAACATACCATTAACCAGAAATGAAACTAGACAATTCCTTAAGTCTCTACCCACACCCTCCCCTGCAGCCCCCTAGCCCAGGATGGTGGTTCACCATGAGGAGGTCTCCTTGCTCACAGCGGTCCCTGTGTTTATCAGGGGGTGCAGCTTGTTCCCCAAGTTGGGAGCTTTGCTTCTAGTTTAGTTGCCGTTTGCCAGCATGTGGCTTCTTTGAGGAGGACACAGGTGTCCAGGCTCTGCAGGGGGCCTTCTGCGTCGTGGCTTCATGAGTTTTGCCTCGCCTCTGGTGACCAGAAGAGAGGACGAAAGCGAAGGTGACTGTGAATACGCTGGGGCAGTGGACAGGGCCGTGTGGTCCTCACACACACTGAGGCCTTGCCTGGGGTTTATAGGCCGGGGACCAGGGCCCGGGCTCACAGTGCTGAGGCCAGGAAGAGACTCCCTTGGCCTGCTGTCCTTCCGGCGCATCGTGTACCTCACGCTATGGGAAACAACGTGAACCAGAGCCACGCTTGGCCCTGAAGTAGCCCTCTGTCAAACAGGAAGGCCTAGCCACATGGGTTTGCTGGCCCCGCCAGTGGATGAACACCTGTCCCGTGTTCCCTGAGCACCCAGCACCCAAGGGAGGCTGCTGTCCATATTGCCAGAGGCAGGGGTGGGGCCAGCCTCCAACACGAGGGACAACAGAATCTGCTTTTTTGTAAAAGAGCATTTTCTTCTTTGGTTCTTGTTTGCATTAGAAAATATTCTGATAAGGGACGCCTGGGTGGCTCAGTGGGTTAAGCCGCTGCCTTCGGCTCAGGTCATGATCCCAGCGTCCTGGGATCGAGTCCCACATCGGGCTTCTTGCTCAGCAGGGAGCCTGCTTCTCCCTCTGCCTCTGCCTGCCACTCTATCTGCTTGTGCTCACTCTCGCGCTCTCTCTCTCTCTCTCTGACAAATAAATAAATAAAAATCTTTAAAAAAAAAAAGAAAATATTCTGATAAAACATCTTTTTAAAATTAATTTTTATTTTCCACAAAGTGATATATAGCTTTACATCTCAAAGAGGACTAAAGTGCCTTTAAAAAAAAAAAAAAAAGATTATACCCTAGAGGCAATACTTTCTGCTTGTTCTTTCTGGTGTGTATCTTTACTGCTCTAAAAGTCTTAAATCATTATTTCTTGAGTGGTGACATTATTGCAGTTTCTTGATAACCCACTTGTATGTTTATATTATTATAACTTACATTAAAAACTGTCCACTGCTAAGACAAGGATATTATCACTGTTACTATTTGCTTTTTCCCTTCTGTGTTTTAGATCATAGTCACTGCTTCTGCCTGCTTCTGGAAAACCCCTGTCAGTACTTGTCCCCGGGTGCTTGTGCCAGTGTCCCCTCTCTGCGCTCTCAGACCCACTGCAGAATTCTGGTCCGGGGCCCCTCAGCCCACCCCACTGCTCTTCCCATGGGCTTTCGGTCTCCTTGATTCCCATGCTGCCTCTTTATGGTTTTCCCTCTTGCTGTGGAGCTCACCCTTCAGCGCTCCCCGAGAAAGCGTGCGCGGGTGGCCAGTTTTCCCCACCCCATCCAGGTCTGAAGATGCCTTTCTTCTGCTGTCACACTCAGTTGGGAGGGGTGTCATTTCATGGGCTGGGAACAGTGCTAGCGGGAAAGCACTTCTCAGACACTTGAAGGCATCTGCTTTGATGCCTTCTTGAAGGAAACTGCTCCCAGCTTCCAGGCTTGCTTTTTTTTTTTTTTTAAGATTTTATTTATTTATTTGAGAGAGAGCACATGAGCAAGGAGAAGGTCAGAGAGAGAAGCAGACTCCCCGTGGAGCTGGGAGTCCGATGCGGGACTCAGTCCCGGGACTCCAGGATCATGACCTGAGCCGAAGGCAGTTGTCCAACCAACTGAGCCACCCAGGCGTCCCCAGGCTTGCTTTTGAGAAGTCCCACAATATTCCAACTCCCAGTTCTTTGTACAGGGCCTTTTTTTTCTTTTTTTCTTTCTGGACTCTTTTAGGATCTTTGCTTTATCCCCAGTGTTCTGAAATTTTGCAGTGATGTGTGTTAGTGTCTTGATCTTTTGTCATCTTGTCTCCTGGGCATCTAACAATGTGTCTGATAATTCCCTACCTTCTGGGTTTTTTTGTTTTTGTTTTTACTGTCTCTGAAACTCTGTTTTATCAGTGGTTGGACCCCTTCCGTCTCATACTTTTCTCTCCTTCTTTCCATCTTTGAATCCTACTCTCTGAGAAATTTCCATGACTTTATCTTCTGCTTTCATTGGATTATATTTCATCATTAGATTTTTTACTTTAAAGTTTTTCTCCTATTCCTTTTTAAGAAAAGCATCCCATTTTTATGATACAAATCTCTTCTCTGAGGATATCAGGGTTCTGGAGCTTTCATTTTCTTCTCCCACCCCCACCGTTGTCTGCAACCTTGTGTCAGGGAGCGCGGGCCACAGCTGGGCCATCTGTAGGCCTCGGGGTAAGCTCTGGCACAGCAGGCTGGAGTTTTCAGTGTCTTCCCCCCCATTACCCCACCCAACAGGTATCACTGGGGTCTTTTCCAGCCTCTCCAGGTCAGCTTCTCAGAACAGTGGATGAACTTCAGATGTCCTGTCAACAAAGGGCAGGGTTTCTGGGTGTTGGGATTGGTGTAGTACAGTTGAATACACACACGCTTAACCAATTCCTGTTTTCAGCCTCGTCAATTTCTGCATAGTGAGGCCTATGTCCAGCGCCCTCCGTGGGCGCAGGACTTGCTACTTCCATTTCTCTGATAAGTCAGAACCACTTTACATCTTCCAAAAACCTGTTGACATCCCTCATTTATATCCTTCTTCCCACTGAATTACAATTTCAGTTTTAAGAGGAAGAGGAGCTGGATAATAGGCATTTATTCTGCCTCACTTAACGCAAATCCCATTTTTTCTTCAGTATGTCATATAGAACTATGAACTTTTCTTTCTTAGGAAGGACTGCCCTTTTCTGAGATTATGTGCTTCTCCCTCCCTTTGTGTGAAAACCATCCTTTCTATGTGAAATAATAGTGTTATTAGGAAACAGTTGGGTCTTTTTAAGTTGACCCCAAAATGTATTTTTAAATTTTACTGGTCTGTGAATCTAACATCAAGAAAACAATACCCTAGGCTTTTGCTTTTTTTTTTTTTTTTTTTTTTTTTTTTTTGAGAGTGGTGGGAGGGCAGAGGGAGAGGAAGAGAGAGAATCTTAAGCAGGCTCCATGTCCAGTGTGAACACTTCGCACCCGACATGGGGCTCAGTCTCATGACCCTGACTGAGATCATGACCCGAGCCGAAATCAGGAGTCGGATGCTTAACTGACTGAGCCACCCAGGAGTCCCCCCAACCCCTTTTTTTAATAAGCAAACACTGAAGGGAGAGGCAGTGGCCAAGAAAATAGGACAGGATTGAGGGAGGTGTTTTTTTCACGCTGAGAGAAACTTGAGCATAGGCAGGCAGAAGACTAAAGAATTCAGTAGCAGAACATCAAAGAAAATTAATGGCAGCCTTTCCCAGTGGAAGGAGGCAGTCGGGAGGGCTGGGCTGGGGAGGAGGGTTCACACCTGACCAGCCCTGCTTCCTAAAATGAGAGGCAGGCAGGCTCATCTCCCGGCAAGTTGGGGAGGCCCTGCTCTGGGTCCCATTTCCACAGTTTCTTCGCATTTTCTTTCCTGACAGTCCGTTTTAAGAATGACAGTGGGTAAGAGGAGGGATATATTTGTGCTTGGACAGTGGTGGGCGATTACATGAGGCTGAGCAGCGGTACCCTGAAGGGCTGGGGCTGGTTGCCCTGTCCAGGCAGCATCTGGGAAGCTGAGCCCGATCCCCACCAACCATCTCCCCTTTGTCTCCCCAGGACTGGTCCAGATCCCCGTGAGCATGTACCAGACTGTGGTAACCAGCCTCGCCCAGGGCAATGGGCCGGTGCAGGTGGCCATGGCCCCTGTTACCACCCGGATATCGGACAGCACAGTCACCATGGACGGCCAGGCTGTGGAGGTGGTGACGTTGGAACAGTGACATGCAGCCGTACCATGGCATCGTTTTCTAGTCTACTTCAAAATTTTTTACACGTTTGCAGAGGTGCAATCAAATGGAATTAAGTCTCTCGACTTCGGAAGAAAAGTTTTGTTAACCTTTTTTTTAAAAAGGAAGAAAGGCAGTGGGTTTTGGAATTGCATTTTTTAAAGCACCACTCTTGATTTTCTGAGATTGGTGGAATAAGATACTGTGTTGTCAATTTCACCATCCCGAAAAAGCCAAATTGTGGCAGGACTTCTTTCTGCAGAAACATGTGTGTATACTTACGTGTGTGTATGTGTGAGTGTGAATATATGTATATGTGTACATATGGATATACACATTTACATATATATAAAGTATATATATGTATGTATGTATGTATGTATGTATATGTATATATATACATATATATATATATGTATATGAAACCCGCATGGAATTATCTGTATGAAATCAAGGTGAGCTGTGGAAAAAAATAATTCACCCAGTTTAGTGGGTGTAGGGTACGTGGCCAGACACAGTCACCCGGTTTTTGTTCATAGCAGGGTCATGCGTTGAGCTACTGACAAACTCAGGCGGAGGTGACCATGCCCTTCACCAAAGCTGCCTCCCAGTGGCCACCCAGAACTCTCCCTGCTGGACTCACCTGAGGAAGGAGGTTCCAGAATGGGGTGGGGTCCAGAAATTGTGTTTGCAAGGTCCAAGGGCCTCGTGGCCTGGCAGCTGAGATGCTCCTTGGGCTGGCCCAGGTGCTGACCTTGCCACAGGCAGGTGAATGTCCTTAAAGCTCCAGGCAGGGACAGGAGGGATTTCTCCAGCCTCCCATCTCCTCCCCTTCCCAGGAAGCCTTCTTGATCTCATGACTATTAAAATGTTGCTTTGGTTTTAAGGTCAGTCCTGAATTGGTCATGTATATGAACTGAAGGTAACGGAAGTATTAAGGGTTTGAGGAGCACGTGCGCGTTAAGGGTGCTTGTGGGCGTGTGCTTGGAGGGGAGAGAGTGCGAGGGGGAGGGGAGGGGTTGGAAGGGGAAAGGAAGGAGGGAGAGAAAAATCTTCAAAAACCAGGGCACACCAATGGGAGCAATTTTTTTCCTTTCCAGTAACTTTCTGTAGCTTAACAGAGGAGACCGGAGGTGACGGGAGCCCCCACGTCGAGGAAGGTTGCTCTTCATCCTGCGGGGCCTTGGAAGAGAAAGGGACCTGGGTGTTCCCAGCAGCCCTGAGGCAGGTCCTATCTCAGAAGGGACGCTGCAGTTTTCCCAGGTGCGGCCCGCTGGGCCAGGCCCCCGCAGCTGCCTCCTCGCAGGGGTTGACCGCTCTGGGTGTTCTCAGTAACTGTTAAATTCTGTGATTTCTCAGCTGTAAGCCCTGAGTCTCCAGTGGCTAAATTCACCTGACTTCTCGACAGGCCAAATCTCTGCTCCTTGAGTACAGGGACAACTCTTCCCCTCCTCCCGGGCCCCCACGTGTGATAGTGTATTTAATGTGTTTTTTTTAATGCGACATTAAAAGATCCTTCACATCTTGCTCAGCCTTTGAGAAAAGTTTCAGATTCTTGTATTTGCTTGTTTTATATAAAACTATCTAATGTTCTTTGTATGTTTTTTTCTGTACGTAATAGGGGGAGGGAAGGGAAATTTACATATGAACAGTCCTAGTTCTACAACTTGTTATTTTTTTAATTATTATTTTTTATCGTCATTGTGAAGCTGTTCAGGGGCTTTAAAGTCCGTGTTCCTTTGTGGTGAAATAACCTCCTAATAGTTTGAGAAATTGCCAAGAAGAAGAAGAAGAAGAAAAGCAAAACCCAAGTAGCAGAGCATGGATTCTGTGTTGTTTTCCATTCTGTCTATTACTGCCTCATTCAATAAATAGTTTAAAATGTGGCAACAGGAAGTGGAACCGTTCATCTCTGTAGGAGCACTTGGCCCCTTGGAACTCCTGTGGGGTGGCTTGTTCTGCTTTTGAAAGGTGCTCGTACTCAACCGAGGTGGTGGTCTTTGAATGGTGCCCCATGACGTCGTGGAGCCCTGTGGCCAATGCCCACCTCCGGAGCAGCACCACTGAATTCGTTTTATAAAAGGCTGTCCTGGGGGTGCAGAGCCAGGTGGGGGGCTGCGATCTAGTTCGAAAAGTTCTAACGATGGTTTGACAACTCTGCTCTGGAGTTCTTTCTTTAAGGGTTCATTGCATTCCACATTAAAACTCAGGTTGGGCGATGGCGCCTGTCTTTCGGGGCTCCCTCCACGAAAGTGGTGTTCGCTCTCGCAGTGGATTATCCTTCTCGAAGCAGAAGCTTCACGTCATTAATTGTCTCCTAGCGTCCTCACTCCTTGGCTCACTTATTTCATGTGACAGTGCCTTCTTTCCAGGGTGTACCTCCTGCCACACCCCCAGTTGTAGGCCCCTTGTAAACCACCCCCACCAGTGCACGTCCATGTCTGTGCCCGCTCTGTGCCTCAACCTGGAACAATGCCCTCCAGCCCTTTCTTTGTTACTGGAGGCCTGGGTTGGTTTCCTGGTGATGGTGAGTGAGATAGTCCAATGGAGAAGACCAAGGTGTTTTCCTTCATGACGTCAGCGGCTCCATAAAGCTAGCACTACCTTTCCCCGTTCTTGAACAAATGGCACACTGTTGCCTATCTTCACTAGAGGGTGGACAGAAAAAGAGGATCAGTCGCAGCCAAAGCAACCCAACGTCCCTGCTGTTGGCTACCCAGGGACAGCTGGAGCCAACGGACCTCCTTACGGGGCCAGCCTCTCTCCGGAGGTACCTCCCCATACAGTGTATTCTCTCGGCCTGGCAAGACCCAGCAGCGACCTTGTCCACAGGCACGTGTGGAAAACTTGCCTTGGTGGGGCTCACGGAGACCTTTGCTTCCTTTACTGAGTCCCCACTGGCAGCTGCTTCAGGGGCCCGGGAGGTAAAATCACTAAGTGAAGGGTAAGTGTCTCGGGTGGGAGAAGAGGGGAGGCGTGGGAGCGGGTGGAGTGGAGAGAATCCGTCTAAAGGGAGCAGCCTCTCCTGCCGCCAGCAGATTGCCACCAAGTGGGAGCAATGTGGGCCCTAGAGGCCCATCTTCATCATTTTCCAGAGAAGATGTGGAGTGCAGGTTTATGGGCAGATCTCCTGATTTCAACAACAGCTCAAAAAATCCTTTACATACTCTGCAGGAAAACAAACACCTGTCGACTAGATCTGGCCCATGGGTCAGTTTTGTTTAACTTCGTGACAGCCTGCCCTGTGTCAGATGAATACAGCCCGGCAGGTGCCCATGGGCAACAAGATGGGAGGAGACGTTCGTCTGAACAGAGCTGCTGCAGCCCCAGTGACAGGTGCCATCTGGATGGAGTGCGGTAGCAGAACAAGTTCTGTCATCTTTTGTCTCCTTCAGGGTCCTCTGCCTTAAGTAGTTTATCATCCAGGCTGCAGAAACAGAGCCGGGGCTCACAGAAATCGAGACTGGGCTAGGCATTCTTGGCTCTAAGTCTACAGCTAAGAAGTTACTGGCGATGCTGGTGACCACTGGAGTTGTCTGAACTCAGAGCAGTGAGGAGAAGCAGAAGGACAGGGAAGATCAGGAGCTGCTCGCCGTCTACGCTCGGGCTGCTCGTGCACCCTGGACCTCACTCGGACCCAAGCCAGGCTCATCTGCAGCCACTTGGCACATGGAAAAGGGCCTCCTCCGTAATGTGTAATGCACCCGAAGCCTCCACTCCGAGTGTGGCCGGCTTGGTACCCAGCCGTGGTGAGTCCCTTTAGTGTCAGCACCAAAACTGAAGCTTAATTAGTCAGACGGAGGCTACGTGGGGTGGGGAAGAAGAGCCCACATCCCCTCTCATCCCCACCTCAGTGGGCTCTGGGTCAGGTCATGAGCCCAAGCCAGCCTGTGACATCAGCACGGCTCACACCCAGATGTCAGAGGCGAGGACCCCCACTGGCACACTCCCACCTAGCCTCTACGGTTTGCTCCAGGTCAGCAGCTCTCGGAGAAGATCCCCTCAGGATGGCAGAGGCAGCACAGAGGGAGAGAGATGACTTAAGGTCTCTGGAACAGCTGGACAGGGTAGGTATTCCCACCCGCCATTTCACTCCCAGGGCTGCTGGGCCCCTGAGTGAGTCCCCAACTCATTCTGAATTTAAGGTTCTCTTTCCTGAAAACAGCTGGGCTGTTAGCAAACATTTGTGGACTACTGGTGTCTTGGGAGTGTATTTCTACAAAGGTCTGGCAGGGAGGGGAAAAGAACAGGGATAATATCCATCAGCAGAGGGGGAACCAGGCTCTTCTGAGAACCCAGGACTTAACCCAGGGCGACCTTGGGAGGCAAGGACAAGCCTGCATCCCAAGACTATGTCTCCAGCCCTGTCTCGAGGCTTTCCTGGCTCTTGTTGTTGAAAACTATGACTTGTCTGCAATTAAGAGTGTTTGTGTGGTACTCATAATAGTTAAAACTCATACAGCCCTTACAATGTGCCATGTTCTGTTCTAGAGAATTACCTATAGATCCACTTAATCTTTGCAAAGTACTGTTACTGTTCCCACTTCACAGATGGGCAAGCAGGCACAAAGAGGTTAAGTTTAAAGTAGCTTATTTAATATTTGGGAGAAAAGGCTAGAAGCAATCCCCCCAAATCTAAGACCCTTGTAATTAAAACTGTTTGTTCGACTGCAATTAATTGGTCTCAACTCAGATTTCTTCTGAATGTGTCTACCTTTAAGAAACTAGCGTTAGGGGGCGCCTGGGTGGCTCAGTGGGTTAAGCCTCTGCCTTCTGCTTAGGTCATGATCCCAGGGTCTTGGGATAGAGCCCACATCGGGCTCTCTGCTCAGCGGGGAGCCTGCTTCCCCCTCTCTCTCTGCCTGCCTCTTTGCCTACTTGTGATCTCTCTCTCTCTGGCAAATAAATAAATAAAATCTTTAAAAAAAAAAAAAAAAAAGAAAAGAAACTGGCGTTAGAACTAGCAGTAACTAAACAGCCGCTCGGCACAGGACATCATGCAGAATGCTGTACGCCTTGATTTCTCATCCTCTCCACAACCCTGTACGGGGGTCAGATTCCATTTCATAGGTGTGGAAACTCAAACTTGGCAACTTCACAAGGTAAATGCGGAACTAGCGAACGCGGGCCTGGGGTCAGACTCTGCTATGTCTGTCTCTAGAAGTTCTAGTCTTCGTGCCAACCATTCAGGTGTCAGGGCAGGTGTTCGAAAACAAGCTGCACATCTGCATTCTCGTCTTTAAAGAAACCTCCAGGTGAGTCCCGAGCTTAGCCCACAGGCAGCCCTCAGCCATCAAAGTCTTCTCACCGTGCTATG